GTTCTTTGTCTTCATTGCAGTAGCTAATCCTGTAGTGCAGTCATACTTCAGGCCTGATATAAAGACTTTTTGTTTCTCTCATTGTCCTCTCCTCTCAACTTGTTTGTGTTGCTCTTGTTTACATAATGTCTTTTGAATTATTTTTTAATGCTTTGCTACTTATTCCTTAATATATAATGTGTGTGAGCTGTTACTGTTATAATGTCACTTATGATATTTGTGGATTCGCTCCATTTGTCTCATATCACTATTGACCAATGAAGCATGCAATAGTTGTACTTCAGTTGTATGTGTTGTAATCTGGATATTAATGTCAATTAGTTTATTGCTTGTTCATAACTGCTATGTACAGACATATAATTAACAAGCGTAACCTTGAGCGTTGTCACAGACTCATGAATATATGTACATGTACATGTAATGTACACAACCAAAAGTAATCATGCCTGAATCAGCAATATTGCCTAAAATGAACGAATCAAGTCTGATATCAGTACTGGTACAGTCCTGACAAGTATCATTGCTGATCATGCCTGATGCTCTGGCCTGAACCAGTGCAAGACCTTTTCATGATTGTGTTGCAACTGAATTCATGACGGTATCGTGACTGATTGCCCAAAATACATGATCCAGTACTGATTTCACGACTGATTCAGGCCAGCATCATCCTGATTCAGACTCCAAACTTTTGGTTGTGTATGTATGTATATGTGTTAATTTGTAAGAGATGTTAGTTATTGATTTATGCAAAACATTACTGTAATTAAATTAGATTATGTATGCTTCTAAGACTTAGCCTTCTTTTTGTCTGTAACGTTATGTGCCCTACTGGGCTTGATCCTTTTATGCAACTGTAAGGCTCCTTTGTACCGATGGGGTTGAATGGAGCATCAGTTTCTTTGTTATATTTTTTGTTATTTAAGCAATCCCACTTTTGGGACTTGCAGTTGTTATTGAATTTGAAATCAATCTCTTTGCAGTTGAATTATCTTGCAGCTTGCTTTATCACAAGCGTACAGTGTAAAAATATGCCTATAATTGATTTCACCACCTTGCATGCATAGCTGGGCACTTAGACTTTTAGAGGTTCTCTCCACCAGACATTGCACGTCTACTGGAATTTTCGTGTACTTGTATTTACTTGTATTTTGAAAAAAGCAGGTCGTGTATGTACTTGTATTCAATGGCAAACTTTCGTGTATGTACATTTACTTATTGCTTCCCAAATTCATCTATATTTTGGTAATTTTTCGTTTACTTTTCATGTATCCTGTACTTAAATGTTGAATCATTGAAAGGCTAATGTCTTCATCACCTTTTCTATTGCTGTTTTCATCATCTGCTATTGCTAGAAGGACTAAAAAGACCATCAAAGATCCGTGGTTAAGGAAGCTAACTGCCATTTTGACTGCTACGTGGACACACCCTTTAATTATTAATAGTTAATATAAATACATGAAAATCGTCTCCTCAGACTCCGTCTACTTATTTTTGGTTCATGTATTAGTCTCGCCCCGCCCCTTCGCTACCTGTAGCGAAGGGGCGGGGCGAGACTATTCATGTATATACTTGTATGTACTAGAAGACCTGTTTTTCGTCTAAATGTATTGTGTATACACGTGCAATGTCTGCTCTCCACCTTATAATGCTTCCTGACAAGTCTTTAGACAGTATCTCTATGTTCTCTTGCTGTTAGACAGGTGATAACTTTGCTCTGTGTGTAAAGGCTGGTTTACAATATGGCGCTAGGCCAACGTAACATCAATTTTTAATCAAAAGTGTGGGCGATTTGTCATTTTGATGCATGCCTTCTGCTAAAATAGAACCAGATTCTATTCCTGCGTCAACGTAACATCAGGAATTGTGTAATATCACAGATATTATAGACTACATCTATAATATCTATGGCATTATTGTAAACCAGCATTAACCCACAATTTTGTTTGCTGTGACCACACCCGCTTAGATAAAGGAGCGTGGGTGGGTGGTTGCTAAGCTTGTTATTTCTTCAATACAACATGTATAGAAGAAATGTAAGTGTGGACATACAAATAAAAGGCCATCTTTACTATAAAAATGTCCACGTGAAACATGCCATCACACCCACTTGCAATTAATTATTATTATTTGAGGCCACAATATTAATTTTGTGAAAGATTTATGAAATCTGAGAAATTTACAACCGGCCTTGAAAAAAGGCACCCTATGGTAATGGACAAGTACATGTGTGTGTTTGTTTATTGGTAGTATTTCAAAGTGTTAGCATGATTTTATTACTCCTGTAGTGATCCCCAGGCAGAAATATTTAATGCACAAAGCGCTTTAAAAATTTTTGCATAGCTAATTAACTATTCATGATGGGCGTTGTGTCAATTTTAATTAATAACAATGATGTTAATAATGAAAGATATATAATTTATGGTACCATCATAGGTTCAACAAATTTCAAGTCAGTCACGACAATATGATTCTTCTCAGTCTCCTGTTGTTATCCTTAGCAGCAAATCTGTTTAGAACTTTATCGGAGACAACTGAGCAGATAAGTCTCTTTCAGTAGATGGGATCAAACCAACCTTTGTTCTGTCATTGTTGTACGAAGCCATGTTTTGATTTGTTTTAAGAGAAAAAGGATCACTCACATGATGCAGAGCTTATACCTATGGTAATTGGTAAGTGATATGATTTCCAATAACTTGACTAAATTAGGAAATACATTTTTAGGGGTGATAACTCCAAAAAGATGCTACTCAAACTTCTACCAGTTGCTGTTATGGCATGTTTGGCCGAAAAACACTTTTCAAAAATAATATCCTTATTGAGATTGTAGTTATGAATAATTGGGAGAAGCTTTTCGGGATCTAAAAAGCTGGATAACTGAGGGTTGCAGTGCTGATTAGAGCATAGTACATCAAGATTGGGACCTGAAAACTGCCGGTTTGTTTAGCTCAGTCTCATAAAGTATGCAGTCAATTACTGGAGTGTAAATAGATATTTTGAGCTAATCATGAGTGCTGCTCTTTTCCCTCATTCCAATAGTTTTCGCTATTATGTCATCTTGAAGTCGATGTGGAATCACTCTGTATGTCCATGACCATCAGTAAAGATGATGTCTAATAGTGGTTCTGACTTCTGAGCTGGACTGAAAAGTAAAGGCCAAAAAAGACAAATTTAATCTGGGCAATATCAAAAAACAGCAATTCATATTGACTATAGTCTAATGATGTAAAATTTTGTTGCTGTCATTTTTATTCATTTTGTTCAGTAAAAAATGATAATTCAAATTGCAGCAAATTTAGTGGTGCTAACACTGACACTATATAAGATTGTTTGAACTGTATCTTGAACTTGGTGGAAGCTCTTCCCAATGGCATGTAACAATATTATCTACTCTTGCCATTAATTAATGAACGGCCCCGCCTTTAAAACACGTGGTTGGCTTCACATTAAAATGGCGTCTCAAGCTGAGTCTTTACCCGATGCTCTCTTGGAAGCTCTGGCAGAAAAGGGTCGAGTAGATTCCTATGAATATGCTACTAGTGTTGCTAGAAATCACCAAGACGCGGTTGGAGCCGTAAAGAGTTTGGAATCCTTTGGAGACGTAAGTTTAGCACGTCAGTGATTTGCACCGTATGGTCTCGAGTTTTTGTTTCTCTAGTTTGGGTTATAAAGACAGAGCAGAAACAGACTGAATTGTCGGAGCTGGCCGAAGAAGGTAAAGAGATAGCTGAGAATGGTTCGCATGAGGTTAGACTCTTTGAAGCAGTCGATCAATCAAATGGAACACCACAAAATGAACTAATGGTAAGAAAAAGGTCATGTAAAGATTACATTTGATTATGAAATTGCCATTTTGAATACTAGCCTAGCAAGTGTGAGTTAAAATGAAATTGCTGTTTTACAAAAGGCATAAAAGACCGTAATAAATGTTCATACCGTAAATGTTCAAATAAAAGCCCGGGCGTTTATTTCTTTCCAGGACAAAAAAATTGCGTAAAATAAAAAAAAGAAAAGGTAAAACTGGGATTTGAACCCGGACCTCCAGATTCAATGCACTCAGTTTAATAAGTTAGGCCATTTGGGATACTCTAAAGATTGTGGGACTTATATTGACTAAAATATCCGTATCTAAACTTGGAGATTCTTAGTACCAGGCGTTTATTCAAGCCAGGCCTTTATTTGAACATTTACGGTACATGTATAATGATAATTTTGTGTGTACCTGTATATGTAATTTTGTCTTGTCTTTCTTATTTGGTTTCATTCCTCTGTCTCTCCCTTTAGTCTAAAGTTCCTAATGCTAAGATTGGTTTCAGCAAGGCAATGTCCAACAAATGGCTAAAGCTAGACAAATCATCACCAGGCCCACCACAAGTTTATAGAAACGTAAGCTGTAATTAGCATTTCGATATTACCGGACTCTATTTATGCAACATTTGCTACTGAAGATTGAATGTGGCTTGCTGGTTGTTATTATTATCAGTTAGTTATGGTGTGGTAGCTATAGTAATGATCCTTCACTATCCACGTCAGAACAAAGCATTACAACTTTGTTTTGAGCTGTACGGAGGAAACAAATGAAAATTAATAATAATAATAGCTAGTACATGTGATCTGATTAATGTAGTACTGTAATTTTGGAGGTAGGAAGTTTGAAGCTTTGATAGTCCTTTACCAAAATAAAAACTTGCCATTTTGAATCATTGTGTCTATGCTCATTAGCACTTGACCATTACTAACTGTACAAAGTGAATTAATAACAATAATAATAATAATAGCACATACTCAAATTTAGTTGATTTATAATATTTTTAACGACCTGGGGGCGAAGCCCCCAGGTCGTTCCTATAATTGAATTCACCGTCACGCTATGTATATATATATATATATATATTTATTTGTATGTCCACACTTACATTTCTTCTATACATGTTGTATTGGAGAAATAACAAGCCTTAGCAACCACCCGCCCACGCTCCTTTACGTGAGTGGGTGTGGTCACGGCAAACAAAATGGCGGCTTACACATGGGACAAAGTTAAGAGCTTTCTAACAGCAAGAGAGCATAGAGATACTGTCTAAAGACTTCTCTAGAAGCATTAGAAGGTAGAGAGAACCTCTATAAGTCTTAATAATGACCAGGTTGTACTTGTAAGGTGGTGAAATCAATTATAGGAATATTTTTTACCCTGTTACGCTTGTTATTCTTAAATTATACATTGTAATGTATTATTTAATAGTTTTAAATTTTGAAATATAATGAGTAAGCTATATTAAATTAATTAATTGTGTAGGTGGAGTCAGTGACTGATACTGTCCGGAAGTTATTGTGTTCCCTCAAAGGTGAGAGTGGGAGGGGAGAACTGTCCGACGAGAATTTGAAAGAATTTAAGAAGAGGAAGCTCATCAGTAGCATGTCAGTTTAAATAATTTTGCATTTTTATTATTGGCTCTTTTTTTGTTTTCTCTCCTCCCCTCTCCCTCTCCCTCTCTCTCTCTCTTTATAGTATAATAAAGAATTACATAATCACACAGGGTCCTTCCTTTACCACTAGCATCAGTAAAAAGAGTACAGAGCTTACTGCTGAAATGATACAGAAGTGAGTGTACCGTATATGTGTGTATAGTGGTTTTTTTGTGGATAGATTTTTTAAGATTCGCAAAATTAATCATTAAAAATCAATGTAATACCTTTAAGCCACTATTATTTGTGGGTACTAATTTTTTTTGCGTTTTTTGCGAGCGGCTTTAAAATCGCAAAAATTAGTACTCGCATTTATTAATAATTTAGGTTTATTAACAGTTATTAATGGGGATAAAAGAGCAAAATCGCAAAATTAGTACACACTTAATCAGTACTATTAACAAATTGCAAAATTTGTCTACTTAAAAATAAGTGGCTTTAAAGTATGCTACAAATTGACAGAATACATGAAATCCACGAAATTAATTTCATGAACCTCTTGATATGGGTCATTCACGAAAAATATTATCCTCACAAAAACCACTACCGTATAGCGGGTTTGTTTCGTGAGGGTAAACTTTCGTTTTCCATCCTCAAAATGACTTTCGTGAGGTTAAACATTCGTTCTGAAGACGTTAATAAGCTACCACGCCCATTAAAACTGGAATTTCGTTTGGTTAATTGCTCGTTCTCCTATCTTGAAGAATGAAAAGAATGAAAGTTCAGCCTCACGAAACAAACCTGCTATATGGTATATGATATTTGAGGTCCACATGATGTATATGTTTTTCATGTTTTGCTGTTATCCGATTGGTGCCGTACCAAGTCACATGACTATATTGTTCGGCTCTTTAGTTAGAACAGCAATACCAGACACCACACACTTTGCTATTACCAATCATGTGCATCATTTCCTAATATGTACATTGAATGCTGTAAAAGTGACATTTTGTCCATGTAAAAGATCTAAAGGCCTTTTCACACTTGTCCACTTTGGATCCAGAATTGAGATAGAATCTAGGATTAAAATAGGATTGGTTTGTTTACACTTGTTTTGAATCAGGATTGAATCTAGATCCAGTCAATCCACATCCAGAGGTGGTTTGAGGTGGATTGGTTTTAATTAAATATTCATAACCAGTGAAGCCAATGCAGTTTAATTCGCTTTTAATTCTTTCAAAGTAGGTTAGTGTGACCACAACCAAAGAGGATTCTATTTTGAAGAATCTAGGTTGCACAAAGTGGACAAGTGTGAAAGGCCTTTAATTTGACTTAAAGTTGATACACAGCATAAGGACATGTATACATGTACATGTACATGTATGTGTACATGCATAAATAGTATTAAATACAATGTACCCCTTTGTAATACAGTATAGCGGTTTTTTTAGGACCATAATAAATTTTGCAAATGACCTGTATCTGGAAGTTTGTGGCATTGATTTTTTGTGAATCACTATTCTGCCATTTTGTACAGTATTAAATTGATTTATAGCAAGGAATTTTAATTTTGCGAATCTTGAAAATTCCACAAAATTTGAGAAATTTGTTATCCTCAAAAATAACCCACTATACGGTAACAAAATGTACATGTAAAGGCACAATGTACTTTAATTCACTACATTTACTTATTTATAATGTTCCTTTGTTATTTTGATTCTTTTGTTCTAGTGGTTCATGGAAGAATGAAGAATTCAAGTCTTACAATTTCAATGCACTAGGAGCTCCACTTGCCACTGGTCACCTCCATCCATTGCTTAAAGTTAGGACCGAAATACGACAAATATTCCTTGAGATGGAGTGAGCCTTTTATTAAACATTGTTACAGTAGTGATTAAGCATAGTGGGTGTGTATTGTGTATTGCTTAGAAAAAATTGCTTGTGTTTAAGATGCTCGTAACTCAAGAATTATTTGTCAGAAACAAGTCAAAATCTCTGCATAGAATAAGTACATGTACTGTACATTAATAATTATCAAACAAGTGTAACAGTGTAAAAATGTTTCTATATTTATTTTCACCACCTTGCAAGTAGAGCTGGGTTTATATTAAGACTTATGAAGGTTCTCTCTACCTTCTAATGCTTCCAGAAAAGACTTTAGACAGTATTTTTATGTTCTTTCGCTGTTAGAAGCTCATAACTTTGTCCCATGTGCAAACCGCCATTTTGTTTGCCATGACCACACCCACTTATGTAGCGTAGGCGGGTAGTTGCTAAGGCTTGTTATTTCTCCCATACAATGTG